AGCCTGCATTCTGAGTATTGAATGGGTGGGATATTCTTTTTTTCTTATTAAGATAACATTCTTTTTTTGTTTGAATTTTCATGTTAGGTATTATGCTTTATGTTGTTGTCTTTTCATATATGGATAAATAATTTTAATATCATGATTTTAATATGTTGTTGTCTTTTCATATTATGCTTTATGTTGTTAGCTATAATGATTTTAATAGTGATTTTGTGACCTTTAAACTTAGTTGGTTCATATTTAATAACAGCATTTGGATCTATTTAATATACTTATGTTGTGTTGATAAAGCTTGCGGAGAAGAAACATCTCTGGATGTCAATGAGCAATGACTCTGGTGTTGTCTTGTACTGAATCTGACAAATGGAACATTGTTTATTTTTATCTTAGTAGTAATTGATGGATGAAACATGGTGATGTTTTTCTCTTGGTACTAACTGGCTGCTCCCTTATATCCATGTACCAAGAAAGAATGCAGGATTGATTTGACTAGATTTTTTATTCTTTGGTGTCTGTATAATGCCTTGTGTGAGTGATCTGTTTGGTATAATTTGATATGATGATTTTATATTTCTGTACATAAATTTTTGTAAAAAAAAGACCATGGACTGGCCCTAATCCATAGGGCTTTGGGCGCTTTTAGTCCTGGGGGATTTTTTTTGCTCTGTGTGCTTTTTTGTCCCGATCCACATGGGCTAGGGGCCAAATCTTGTTAAAGGGCTGACTTGACAGATCTAATCTCAGGTTCCTTCTACTTTTTGTTCTACTTAGTTCCTATGTCTTCTTCGATTTTTATCCGTACAAGAATGACTCTGTGTTGAATATAGGTAATAAGAATATTGCATCTCATTTCGAGCTGGATGCTCTGCATTTGTTTCTGACAAAAATATATATTCAAAGCATTTGTAATGCAGGGATTAGATCATAAAGTTAAAATTTGAATTTTATAGAATATAAAATTTAAAAATTTTAAAAAATTGAATTTTCTCTTTTTTACTTGTTAATTTAAAAAATGTTTTATATCAATTTTAAAAATATTTGTTATATCAATTATGTTTAAGAATGCTTATTAAAAACGAGTATTTATAATTACTAATTACTCCACCTTTAAAAAAGTTATTCTAAATCCTAATATTTCAATAAGTTATATAATTTTAAATGTTACAGAGGTTTAACCAAATGGAAGGAGAATCGACAGTTTTGGCTATTGAAATAGAACGTTTAGAGACAGAATGGACTGAGTTGCTTCAAAATGTGAAAGCTCCGGACATGGATGAATTCCACATGCAATGTATTTATAGGGTACCACCAAATATTCGTGAAAGTAATGCCAAGGCCTACACACCTCAAATTCTTTCCATTGGCCCTTATCATCACAAAGCAAGTCATGTTGGTGAGGAAGACAACAGTTTTGAGGCAATGGAAAAGCTTAAACTCAACTATGTCAAGGGATTTATAAATCGAACACAACTACCTATGAGAGAACTTATTGTTAGAATTAAAAACTTGGAAGAAAAAATTCGTTGTTGTTATGCAGAGCCAATTAGATATAAAAGTGATGATTTCTTAAAGATGATTTTAGTTGATGCTTGCTTCATAATTGAGCTTTTCTTGAGATGGCGTAAATTCACAGACTGGGTGGGAAAAGACCCTTTGTTCCTACAACAAGGCACCATGGGAGTGGATATTCAGTGTGACTTGCGACTACTGGAAAATCAACTTCCATTCTTTGTTCTTGAACACCTTTACAACCTCACTGGTATGAATGAGAAATTTCTTGACATTTCTTTCAGCTATTTTCAGCACACAAGTTTAAGAAACGTGTGTCCAGGAGAAAGTCCAAAACACTTAACTGATTTGTTAAGATCTTCTATAATATCATCATCAAAGCTTGGTCTTGAAAAACTGGAACAACGTAAACACGTTAAACGTGTACACAGTGCAAGTCAACTAATGGAGGCGGGTATTGAGTTCAAAGTCAGTCCAGATGATAGCTTAATTGACTTGACCTATTCTAAATATGGAGTGTTGAGCATGCCAATCTTGAATATATATGACGATACAGAAGTTCTGTTCAGGAATATATTGGCATATGAACATTGCCACATTAATGTCACTGCATTCATCATTACACAGTATGTACTTATTCTAGATTTTCTTATCAATACGGAAAAAGATGTGAACATACTGGTTGATAAGAAAATTATTGTCAATTGGACCGGTGATGCTAATAAAGTGGTTACAATGATTAATAACCTCACCTCACAACTTAACATGCCATCTTTCAATTCCCACTATTTCTCTCTATGCAATGACTTAAATGAATTCTATGAAAACCCTCGCAACAAGTACAAGGCTATCTTCATACACGAGTACTTCAACACTCCTTGGAAAATAGCATCTACTACTGCTGCAACTCTACTACTTTTCTTCACGTTTATTCAGACTGTATGTTCAATCATCACACTCTTTCATGGTAAGAAATCATGACATATCATTAGTTAACTACAGATATGAACTATTGCAACGGATAAAATTAGCTACGTTAAATTTGCAGGTAATTAAAGAGAGGATTCATTAAATAAGCAACAGTTGGTGAAGAAAGTATTTTGATTGTCTCAGTATCAGGAAAACTTTGTAATGTTATTTACTGTGTTGTTATTTTTCTTTCAATGAATATTCAACTTGTTTTCTAATATTTCTATTTGGATGTTAACTTTAACTACTTTTTATTCACAAGTAACCATGTTGCGAGCTCTTAGATTACTAAAAAAATTAACTTGTAAAATGTACATTTTTCCTAGAATAAAATGCACTGTGCTTATTCTGAGTTCCTTCCTTAACAATTTGAGTCCGTATAACCTCCTTGAATAACCATGGATGAACAGAGCTATTGTATCTTGTAACAGTTAGCAAGAATATATCATTGAGTCAATGTCTTCTTTTAAGCATATATCCCTTTACTACCAATATATCACAATATCATTCCACTTGATGATTGTTATCCCATTTGATCTTATAGACTCATTTGCAACCTCTTGAGAAGAGGAAGAGTATGAGTTGATAATTACACAAAAATACGACACAATAGCTATCCGAGTTAGAAGATGAGGTGGAATAGGAGAAGGATGAGTTAGAAGTGATAGCAACATCATTATCTCCATAATAAAAATTTATAAAAAAAATTATATTATTTTCTTAAAGATAAATAATATTATTTACAAATTTAAATTTTATTCTAATAAAAATTTGCATGACATGCATATATATATATATATATATATATATATATATAATATTCTC